TACTACTACTACTACTACTACTACTACTACTACTACTACTACTACTAACTACTACTACTCCTGCTGCTGCTACCACTACTACTACTACTACGACGTACGACTTCGACTACGACTACGACTACGACAACTACAACTACATAATACTACTACTATAATATGTTGCCCCATGTTGTTGACTGTGGTCGGCAGTGTTGAATTACACACACATGTTTCCATGGTCTTCACATTGGTCTTGACATAATTGTCATTCCCTTGTAAAAGCAAATATCTACATGTTAACTCTTAATGCTTACTGCCAGTAATAAAGCATAAGATACAAACAACTTGTATTAAGTCCAACCTCTGCCCACATGAATGCAAGCCGGCTTCGCCGGGTTTTGCCTGTGGACTTCAATTCCACGAACACCCACCTTTCCAGGCATTATATAAATCGCTTTGACCGCGATTACCAAACTTGCAACAAGTGACAACAAGTGACAAGGGCCGCTGCGAGGGATCTAGTGTCTACTAGTGTCTACTATTTACCAAACACACAAACACATTTATACGTACAAAAGCAAAACAAACAAGCAAACAAACATAAGAGCAATGCCAAGCGCACGCCAAGCAAAGCAATGCAAACATACGACAACACATACCTCTCAAAATGGTCTCCATGATCAGCTTGGTATGGTGGGGAGATAGCTCTAAGTCTCTAAGTGTCCGCATCGCAAGTTTTGGATATGCAGGTCACAGCAATGTAATTCCTTGAAGGATACACGATTGAATGAGGCCTGACAACCGGTCCTTTTGGCCGATTGTCCCCTTTAAGAATTCCAGCGTGTAGAACTGACACCGAGTTTCCTACTGATCACCGTGATGCACACCATCTGACACGGCATCAAGCAGTTCAACCAAAGAGCCGAATTCCGCTCCTATCCACCAAGCGCTTTCTTTCTGCGGCGCGCCGGGGCTCGGCTCTCCTTCGTGGACATCCGCCCGCGGAACAAGGCGGCGGCGGTCAAGTAGCGCCCGTGGCGAGGGTCAGCTGCGCACATCATGTTCTTAGCATCGAACCTAAGAGGAGGCACAGAGGGTTCGCAGCTCAACCAAGGAGGTTTTGCTGTTCAATCTGGAGCGACAGATCTGGGAGACAAGTGAATAGAAATGGTATATGGCGAGCAGAAGGGCGGATACTACCAGTGACAGACCTAGGAAACATGGCCAGCGGAAAAGAGCGGACACCAGCAGTGACAGACTTGGGAGACAAATGAATAGAAATGCTACATGGCCAACGGAAAAAGGGCGGACACCAGCAGCGACAGACCTGGGAGACAAATGAATAGAAATGCTACATGGCCAGCGGAAAAGGGCGGACAGCAGCAGTGACAGACCTGGGAGACAATGAATAGAAATGCTACATGGCCAGCGAAAAAGGGCGGACACCAGCAGTGACACAAAGGGGCGGACACACCTTAAGAAAGAATTGAGAACCCCTAACAGTAAACTGTTTGGAAAAAAATGGAAGAAAAGATAAAGCAAGCTAGGACGAGATAAAACAAGAAAAGACTAGAAAATGTAAGATAAGTTAAGGTAAGATAAGATACGCCGAGATGAGGTAAGATAAGGTAAGGAAAGGTACGTTGAGAGGTCGAACGGGAGATGGATTCGATCGGGTAGACAGATTAGATCGAGAAGATAGACTAGGTACGTTGGAAAGATGAGAAAGATTGCACAGATGAGAACAAACTAGAAAAGGTGAGATGAGATACGGAAGGACAAGATACGTGGATCGGTAGATAGGAACAGATTTATAGATGGATTCGATCGACTAGATGAGGAAAAGATAGATCAGGTACAGGCGATGGACTGGATTGATTGTAAAGATAAGATAGATTAGGTAAACAGGACAGCTAGGACAAACAGGATAGATAGGACACACGAGCTCAGCTCACCGAACGTACATTCCCACAACATTTTGGATACCAGGCTGCCGTGCAAGAAGCATCGTCTAAACAACTTCAGCCAGGAACATGAAAGGAGATAGGCAAATAAGATTAGATCAAATAGGATCAGAGAAGAGAAGCAAGCGTGAGATAAGATGAGGTAAGCTAGGAAACGAAAGGAAAAAGCTAGGAAAGGTAAGATAGGATAAGATACGGTAAGAAAAACTATATGCTACCTGGATAAGTAGATAGGTACATAAATAAATGGATTCGATCAGGTAGATAGAATACATAGAGGAGATAGACTAGATACATTGGAAAGATGAGAAAGATTGGACACATGAAGAGATCAGATGAGAGCAGACTAGAAAAGGTCAGATGAGATACGGAAGGACAAGATACGTGGATCGGTAGATAGGAACAGATTTATAGATGGATTCGATCGACTAGATGAGGAAAAGATAGATCAGGTAGAGGCGATAGACTGGATTGATTGTAAAGATAAGATAGATTAATTAGGTAAGCAGGACAGCTAGGAACGCACATTCCCGCGACATTTTGGATACCAAGCCTCCGCGCAAGAAACATCTTTCAAAATACTTCAACCAGGAACATGACAGGAGATAGACAGATAAGATTATATAATATAGATGAAATGATCAGAGAAGAGAAGAAAGCGTGAGATAGAATGAGATGTATGTATACAAGGATAGGTCACCCATCACGAAATACAAAACAAAAGTCTATCCAAAAAGATTCACAGAATATATGTTGGTTTGTGTATTGCTCTATTCATGACCGAGAAAGAGTACCGATGAACATCCTGGTTCGGGGTGCAAAATAATGACGGTCATACATGTGTTAGAGGATCACATTAAAATAGTAGGATCCTCATCCTCATCCTAATCCTCATCAAAGGTGCCGTCCTCAAGTCCCCTTTCATGGCCATCATCTGCGGCGTCATCCTGCAAAACATGTACTGTTTCACCACCGCCATCACCGTCACAGCTATGCTATCATCGTCCCTTGGAACTTCCGGCACGGGCCCATCCACGGGCCCACGGGCCCGGATGTTGAGGAGAACACGTTGTTAGCTTGAGGAATGCCCGCAGCCTGGACCACTTGGTTTTCGCAGATGATCAAATGTGCCGATCTGAGATAGAAGCTACAAATAACCTCCCTACCTTTCTGATGAGCCGCATTTATTCACCACTGATCACCACACCAACCTGGACAAGTGCTCTTGCCAACATCTGATCACAAGATGTCTTTTTTGGTATCTCAAGCTGAAAGATGTATTCTGGGTCGATTGACCAAAGGTAGTTAGACCCCAACACATCCCCAAATCCACCCCAACAACCCTTCTCAGGAGGTTATTGAAGCCCTCAATGGCACCCTTGGTACTTGTAATCCATTCCTTGTGGGCTGGACACTTCACGCACGTCCAAGCGCCAAAAACAAACAACAACGGGAGACTGGGCAGCCAAGCACTGCAGGGCGCAATGACATCAACAGACTCGACCAGTGAGAGCATCGCTTGGGGCATGTGCTTGCTCCGTGGTTCAAGTGTAGTCTCACTGGAAGAAGAAGAAGAAAAAGAAGAAGAAGAAGAAGATGAAGAAGAAAAACAAGAAGAACACGTAGAAAGGTTCACAAAGCAAAAGGATCCCATCGGAAGCTCAGCCCCGTTTCGGATCGGATGCTCTGCGGCCACCTGGCATCTGCTGAGTGAGCTCCGGCACCGTGAGTGCGCGATATTGTTGGGAGCCACGTGAGGTCAAGGGCGCAAAACCCGTCATGAAGAAGTGCCTACAAGGTCGGTGCCCCGAGAGGAAGGTCGGTTCGGTGCCCGAAGCCACGAAGCCACGAAGCCACGAAGCCGAAAGGCCTTTTCCCCCCAAAGATGAACATCATGAAACGATTTGGACAAAGGAATCGAGTTGCATGCAGACCAGAATGCCTGAACTGTGCGATGTTGACTTTTTATGGCATCTACCAGGTGCACTCACTTCACCAAATACAAGGTGTTCACCCACCAGTGGTTCAGGTCCAATGGTGAACGCGTGGTCTGATACAGTTGGGTGTTTCTTTTTTGAAGGCGAACAAACCAATGTCTGCAATTGCTTTATGGGAACCAGGATGGTCTCAAACATGATCCGTCTCAGTTGGGCCGTCCAGTTTTTTAGGACTGGACGGGGTCACACTCATGTCAGTGTGCATGGAGGCCCCTCTCCAAAGCGCTAGGTATATTCAATATGATTCAATTCAATCTGAAGCAGATGTTCTTCAGCTCATCCTCCGAACAAACACCACATCACTGGAGTTCACAGAGTTCCGGTCTCTGGCGTATTGTTTTTGGGGCGTCATCTTTTGCACCAGTTGAGATGGCCATAGGTCTTTCGAATCAATTGGTTTCTCAGTCAAACCGTGCTTTTAGATCATCCGTGCGGAAACAGGCTGAGGTCTTGGGAGACCTTTTAGGGGGGTCACCCAAAGGATTTTCCGATCGAGTGGAAGTGTGTCACCTTCTCATGCAGGAAATTCCGGCAATGCCATCCTGCATGCCATCCTGTCAGCCGACTTTTTGAAGGGATGTGGAATCTATTCCTCTCGGCTCAACCGCTAAAGCCTGGCATGAACAGTCACAATGTCCATGCGTTTCACCCATTCGAGATCAGCACACTTCCAACCCAAATGATCTGGTAGGTGTTTGAAAACCAAGAAATAAGACCGCAATCATCCGCAATAAAAAACTGCCTTCGACTTATCTGACCTGTTCTTGATTAGGGTTGGCCATGTTCTGGTTGGTTGGCACTTTTGGTCTCTTTGGCTCTCTCAGTGGGTGTTGTGGCCCTCCCCTTCTTTCCAATTCCTTTGCTCACATAGCACCATAGCACTGCATGTCGCTTGGATGTCTAGTATACATTCCGCTTTCAAACGACCAGGATTCCATGGATCCCATGGACTATGAACAGCCCAGGAACGGGTGCCCGGGCACCTGCACGGATGAACCGAGAATTCAACAGCCCAGGCACAACCGTGGGAAGGGCACGAGGTTCACGGCAATCTTCCGCAGGTCGCAATTCCTAGGAGCGAGGCCATGCAGGTGGGCGACCTACGCAAAACATCGCAAAACCACCCCCCTGCTCGGTTTGGAAACACTAAGTTTCGTGGAGGCCAGACTCGGAGTTGGGATGCAGTTGATGAGAGATTGTTGTCCTAGGTTCACTAGCATCATACATGGCCCTAGTAGATGGCAGGTTCACTGCCCTAAGACATCCTGATGCCTGAACCTCTTTCCTCTTCATCCACTCCGCTTGTCGAGCTGAATCGTTCATTCGACTGAGGTCGGCTAAGCTTACCAGACTGACGAACAACGCCGAACTGAAGGAACTCGAGTTCTCGCCCCAGCGCGGACTCGCCCCAGTGTTTTCGAAAGTGGCGAACTCGGGCAGGTTTGCTAAGCAAACAACACCTCGAAACATGCAAGGAGCTTCGCAGGTCCTTTCTTGGAGGGAGCCATGGATTCTCGCCAGGCATCAGCTGTCCGGGGAAGCGCAAGCAGCAGGTGACGCCACTCATGGCCGCAGAGACCAAATGGTTCAGGTCTCCGTAGGTGGGTGTCGTAAGCTTCAAAGTGCGAAAGCAGATGTCATACAAGGCCTGAAGGTGGAGAGGGGCGGAAGGGAAGGGTATTTCACACGCACGTATGACATCACTCTTCCAGCAGTAATAGTTATAGAGTTATAGTTCATCCCAAGATTGAAATGGCAAATGTCAAGGCTGAAGTTGCCTGAAGTATGGATGCTGATGTCATAAAAGTACTTGAAATGTCTACCAAGGCCCGCACAACCCAGGTAGCTCTACCAGCCTATATAGGGGGTCATTGGAGTCTTCGATGTTCACGGCAACATAACCCAAACCCTGAGGCTTCGAAACACGTTTTGCCGTCGGTAACAGCTGGCTTCAATCTCAAGGCACTCAGTACTTGAGGGCTGATACATGGTGCGCACGCAAGAGATGGTTTGATGAGCAAACAGACCTTGTCGAACTTATTCTGTACTGATTTACTTGGAAGGGGGGGCTGTGACTTCATGAGCTGTTCCAGGCATCATCCTCTCCACGACTTCAACGCCGGCATGCCTCGTTGTCCAGGAGGAAGGACTCATCAGAGTTCTCCACCAGCTGATGGAAGCTCAAAACAGCCTCTGAAGGTGGGAAACTGCTCTGCATGGAAATTCACAACCAAACCCAACCAAATCAAACAGCAAACATATGTTTGATCTATTGTGGGTTCCAGAAATCACTACCTAAACCAGTTCTTTGATGTTCTTTGGGGTGTTCCTTCCAGGGCGGCTAGTTCGTCGCTGAAAACGGCTATCGCCCAAATTGGCACGTAGCCCCGCGTTGGTTTGCGCAGGCTCCAACCTCAAACCTTCCCTCCGTCCCTCTCTCGGAGGGCACCGCAAACAAGATCCCCCAACCGGTTGCATCGCCAAAAACGCCCTTCGTTCAGTGGTTATAGTATGTACCAGTGACATCATCTGCATGTTTCTCACCGCACCGTAGGACATGGAGGATCTTGGTTCGCGGGGAAAGTAACACCTATTCACCAGAAATTTCGGGCATTGACCCCCAGTTCGGAACCACATATCTGATCCGCCAAGCCCTATAATACATTAATTATAGATCAGTGAATCCCTTTCGTCTGTCGCCGCTTGGCGCCCGGGTGGCGTTGTAGGGTTCCACCACGGTGTCCGAGACTTTGGGCGATGGGATCACCGAGAAGGTCTCCATGATGCGATCCTCGGCGACCGACGAATTGACCGACGGGTTTCGCTCGGTTCGTGTGGCGTCCGGCGCAGATGGGCGTAGATGTTTGGTTCGTTGGGCACAGGGAGGAGTGAAACCGAGCGAAACCCCTGTGGTGAGTCTGATATTGGGATTTCATGACGTGAAACCAAAGAAAATGATGTTGATCTTGCTTTGAGAAACCTCTGCAGACTCTGCAGGTCTGCCTGGTGAAATATCAAGCCGTTTTGGGGGGTAAAGTAGCAAGGTCACAGCTGCAATAAAGGCTTGGGGAAGAATTCCCTGTCATGACTCAGTCAGCCAACATCAACTTTGCTTCTTGTGAGATCCATCAGGTGATCTCATCCTCCTACACCAAATGCTCGTTTCCTATACTTTCTCCACATGAGACCTCCAACCTACCCTCTTCCTCATCTACCTGGAGTCTCCTTGCCTCAGCACCCTGTAGAAATGAAGAAATGTTAGAGCAATTGGGGACAAAGAAGTACCATGACACCGAACACAACCGACCAGTTCACTGGACACGTAGAACTGGATGAACGGAAGCTCTGCCCGCCGAGGTTCCGGATATTCTTCCCGCACCTTGGAGACCAGCAAAGTGCCCATGCCAGCACCGGTGCCACCCCCCCAGGGAATGGCAGAGCTGGAAGCCCTGTAAACAGTCGCATCCTGTGGCGCGGCGGAACGAACGTGGCGCCACGCAGCAGCGCCACGCAGCGCGTGTACGTACACAGCGCCCTCAAAGGGCGCCCAATAAGGTGACGCCTTGTGTGAGCGGGGGCCCCTTGCTGAGACAGTCCAGGTGCAAAATGAGATGCGGAAAGGGGGGGGGCATGGCCATGGCGGCTTTTTGACTGGTGCATGCAGGTCTATGACAAAAGAAAGGGACCCACCTGTGGAAAACCACCAGTGGTTTGATTGTGACACATTTTTATGACCGGCTGGCTGGTGATTGATTGCAAACACGGGACACGAGATTCCACAAACATTTTGCCTATTCTTTCATAATTTAAACACTAAGGGGGGAGGCCCACTGGTGTAAATCAAGTGCCTTGGAAATCTGTTCTATCTAGGGAGATCACTACGTACCAGGCTGCGACACTTCGCCGAGAGAAGCATCTAGTCAAGGAGCAACTAAATGATCAAGGACGATCTTGACAAAGCACAAGCAGCGCTGACAATCCATGACTAAGCAACTGGCATATCGTCTTATAAGGTATGCTGCCTCGTGGGAAACACTTCTGCATGTGCTTTTGATGTACTTCAATCGGGACATCGACTCTAATTACCATGTACGTCAATGACTTCGGCTTCCATGATGAGCAGACATCTCTCTCTTCGGTGCTCCACGGGATAGCACCATTCAAAACAAGCCAAACGCTCTGAGAGCCGCAAAATCCTCAAAGAGTCTACTTCGCGGCCACCAAGAATCTGTACACCCTAGTGTAGAGGGAGCGAAAAGCCTCCCAAAACGGAACAACCCATCCGTCCAAACCAGTGGGCCTTCAGCCTCCTTGCGAACCACATCCAGCACCTGGACCAGATGAAAACCAATGAAAACCGTCCAGATCCGATGATTTTGAAGGTAGGACCCAGGTAGGACGTCGTGCCAAATCAGCGCACTTTACATTGCTCGGGCATGTTGGTGTCCTGGCATGTTGTCTTCAATGTATGATCGATCGAGCTTCTTGCTGAGAACAAATGATTGAACGAAGGGACATGTTCAAACTCTCATTCCCCAACAGGTCTCAAGGAAAACAACAAATGTTGACCTGAATCATTAGTGTTTATAGCCACTTAGCCTTGCACATCTCCAATGATGAGGTCGGCAATGGTAACAATCGGCTACATTCAAAATGCTACATTGAATAGAGACATACGTCCAACTCACAGCTATGGTAAAATCATATGAGACAGCGTCTAAGTCGTTGGTTTGGGCTGTATTCACAAGTAAATTAGGGCGTCCCCTATCGTTTTTTCTGGTTTTGACAATTTGGGGTGGGTATCGTTTTGGGGTAGCGTCTTTAGTGCGTCCCATATCGTTTTTTGGGGTAGGGCCATTTAAAAAACGACGAAACGTTCCATATACATTGGATGCATCTGTGCATCCTACTCCAGTGGATGGTTAGCAAAGGCTGTCCTCTAAAACAGTGATAATTGTTTACCGACTGTTACAGGTAATATAGGTCGGACACCCCCAACATATTCTATACCTCAAACCTGCTCAGCAGTCAATTGCGCATCAAAACAGCAGGGATGCTTGCAAGAAGCGCGGCAGAAGACACATGGTTTGCTTTGGTGATGTTTTTCACTTTATCTTTGGATTCGGCAATGCAGAATTCCTTTCCCCTTTTCTCTCTCAAATTCCAAGCATTGCAGGACAGCATCATGTTCCCTGAATAATAATTTGCTTTTAGTATTATTCCTTTCTCAACCTACACAACCCCTATCAAGTGCACCAAGTGTTAACAGGGAGTATCTTTCACTGCGTGCACAATTTCTCCGACGAGTCTCGTCGGCTCACAGCAGTCTGTCTGTGCCTCACGTCCTTCATTTACAGTGAGTTGTAGAGTGGATGGCACCCCAAGATGCCTTTGAAAGAAGGGGTCCATATAAACCACCCCAAACCTGGGGGGGTCTGCCCTCGAACCTCGGCCCAGTCCCAGTGCCCGGCGCCCACGGCAGTCTGCCCCCTTGGCACGGAGTCGATGAGTTCAGCACCCTCGGTGTAATGTCCTGCTCGCGACGGAAGACGCGAGCGTCGAAGAAGTCGTCGAGTGGGGAGGTGAATGGACTGAAAGCAGTTCTGACTGCTCTGGACACATGGAAATGGATCTATGGGGCTGCCAGTGGTCTCTTAGTGAGGTGATAGAGGTTCAATAAAGAGGACGGCTGGGTGAAAGGTCATGACCTTTCACGAATCCTTGTGTGTGGGAGAAGCAACTTGAAGCTGAAGGTTGAAATAATTTCGTCATTTCTGTCCATCTACATGAAATATCATGACGTCTAAATATAGAAGAACTCCTCAGCCCTGAGAGCCAAGCATCGCAACGACTCTTGGCATCTCTCTCCGTGTGGAGAGAAGTTAGCAAAGACCCAAAAACTGAACATGTTTTACTCACCAAGATCTTCCCGCTTTCTGCTCCATACCCTAGTAAGTAGCCCCTATATAGTCACCCCATAGTCTGCTACTTCTGGGTGCCACCGTGCTTACGCCCCCAACGGTGCCACCAGTCCTTTGGCCCAGTTGTTCCCGGCGCCCGTCTGCCCGAAGACGAAGTTGTCCGGGCGGAAGAGCTGGCCAAAGGGCCCAGCTCGGACGCTATCCATGGTGCCTACCCGGTGGAGCTGCCGCGCAGGTCGTCAGGAGAGTGACCAGTGGGGTTGAACCAAAACACATGGAATAGATTGATGGCATCTTCAAGGACAGCCCACCGTGGATGTTGGTTGGAGATGTCCATCGATCGAAACCGATTCCGAATGTATGCACCTCAAGTGTTTTGTGGCAGTATTGAACCATTTAGGTTCATGGTGGGTCTGAAATTTTGATACGTCGAAAACAAAAGGAGGCATTATTCACGTGGTGTGTCCGATGCAAAAGAACAAATCACCAAATTCTGCACTCTCCCACTACCCTGCTCTTGACAGCAAGTCACCCAGCCTGGTTCCAAATCCATTAGAACGGCCCTGGGGACGTAGCGACCACCGGTGGCTTCGTTGAAGTATACATTGATCCTCTCGAGCTGAAGGTCCGAGTCACCGTGGTAGGTGCCAGTGGGGTCCTGAGAAGTGGGCGTCGCAATGCTCCGACCGGTTTCGGGTTCCGCCGTGGAGGTTGAGTGGTTTGGACGATCTTCATGTGGAGTCAATACCTGGCGTGCGGCAAACCCTAAAAGAACACAGTGGCCACTTCATGGCAATTCCTCATTCCATGGGATCTGATCACTGGGAAGACCAAGCTTGACGAGGGGCTCGAACATGTGCTTTAGGACTTTGAGGAATTTTGTTTGGAAGACATGTTTGGCTGCTTTGCTGTTGGCTTCGATTTTCCAGGAACAACATGGTACAAAGCCCTGTGTTCAGGTTTTTGATAGGCAGAACACATATCAGAACCGAAGTCGGACCAAATGTCACAGCACATGTCAGACTTCACTGCAGCACAAAAGTGAGAACACACTCCAGACAATACTGCGTTGTTACTAAGAGTAACCTTGTGTTTAAAACTAGAAATGAGGCATGTTGTTAGGTTCGACATAAACGTTGTCCTGCTATAAAGTTAAGAACAAATATTGTAATATCATACGTAATTACACATGTACATTTTCAGCACCTTTTGAAAAAACACAAAAGGCACCTTGCGTTGTTGCTAGGTATTTGCCTTGTATTTAAAACTAATAATGAGAAATGTTGTTAGGTTCGACATTAACGTTACGAACATTATTGGATTATCAAACATAATTACATATGTACATTTCCAGCACCTTCTGAAAAAACACAACAGGAAATATGCGTTGTTTCTTTGTATTTACCTTGTGTTGAAAGCTAAAAATGAGAATGTTAGGTTCGACATGAACGTTGTCCTGCTATAAAGTTACGAACAAATAATGGAATATCATACATAACTACACATGTACATTTTCAGCACCTTCCGGAAACACAAAATTGTTGGTAGGTATTAGCCTTGTGTTTGAAACTAACAATGAGAAATGTTGTTAGGTTCGACGTAAACTTTGTCCTGCTATAAAGTTAAGAACAAATTTCGAGAATATCATACATAATTACACATGTACATTTCTAGCACCTTCTGAAAACACAAAGGGCACGCGTTTAAAACTAAAAAATGAGAAATGTTGATAGGTTCGACATAAACGTTGTCCTGCTATAATATTCGAATATCATACATTACGTTTCCAGCACCTTCTGAAAAAAAACACAAAATGCACGCTGTATCCCGGTCTGAAAGATAGATGGTGTGTCAGAACACAATCCGAGCTTGACGCAAGATCAAGTGTCGGAACTTTGTGTTAATTAATGCACATGTCAGGCGGCATTTGTCAGGATAGGCTGTCAAAACATGTGCCCTGCCTTCTTCCAAATCGCCTCTCAGGGTGAGGATCACTCGAAGTAAAGGAATTGTTGACAACTAGGGCCTAGGGCCATGTCATGTCCCATATTCGACTATAGGGGCCGGACCAGAGTCGCCTCAAGGTGCTTTTTTGCCATGGAGGAGCGTCCGACTCGCAGACCCAGATCGCCAACGGTCACTTAGGCCTTTTCGTTACCCATTTGGGGTGGGACGGCCTGTTATCAACTCCCCAAAGGACATGTACGTAATTTTTTTCATTTCAGGGCTGTCTGCAGGCGTCTGCCTATAGCGAAGAGCGGTCCATTGCCAAGTCACTTCAGATCATTCAAAAGGATCTGGGACACCGAACGGAAAGCGCCACGCCAGTACACATTGGGCAAAGGCGTAAGGCGCAAGGCATGCACCGGCTCAGGGTGACCGGCAGGACATCTGTATGCCCATGATGAACCCGCCTCAAAGCATGAACTTGTACGGCAAGATCATGAACGTGTAGCAACTTAGGGCCTTGATGCCAGCTCACAATGACAGCATGCCGCCAAGCAAGGTCCTGATCACGGAGACCCATGCGCATACACCACACAAACAGCGCATTCCCAATGACTATGCATCTGTGCCACTGTCCAGCGGTTCTCACACTGCTCATGGAAAGCAGCAAAACGGGCCTCCTCATTCTGTTGGTCGAGTTGGAAGGAAATTCCCTGAGTACACAACAAGTGCTTCTCCTTCAAGAACTCGCCCTCCAGGTACTCCAGGTCACTTGCACAAGCACCAAGCATCAGTGGCCAGGCAAGGGCCACTGCGTCCTTTCTTGTCGTCCCAGGGAGTGCAACCAGGTTGTCATCCGGCAAGTCCTCCCTATGCGCCTCTGCTATGCCGAACTCCCTGATCCATGCTCCGCATCGGTTGAGGTGACCTTGACGACTCGCATATCGAAGGTGCGTCTGCAGACGACTGGAGGTCCAATAATGTTTCAAGCATACGACGCAAGTAGTGCCACGGATGATGCCGAATTCTACATTGGGCCAACCTTGCATCTGAACTTTAGGCATCCGCAGCGCTTTCACGTGCTCCGCAGTGGCACATGCACTTCATCTTATCCAGAAGGTCCTGCGAAGTTTCCTCCTCTGCATCAAGGGCATCAGGTGGCCGGTTCAATTGGGGCAGCATGAAAACATGCTTCTGCCGGCCTGCTTCACGATCCGCTTCCAGCCTGGTCTGCCCACTTGCCACCAATGCCAAACTTCATGGACCGTTGAGCCCCATGTGCTGAGGTCCATAGCAGATCCCAGCCAAGTAAGGTCTTCTTGCAAACCAGCCCACCATCCAGTGGGCAGCTCCTGTGCCTCCCTGCGAACTTCATCAACAATGAAGGTCGGCCCGTGCCGTGCAAGTCGTGCAGCCATCAGAAGACGTTGTTGTGCAAGACGAACTCGTACTGGGG